TTTCCTGTTACTAATGGCGTTTCGGCAAACTGCTCAAATTTGTCGAGGTATTCAGCAAATTTCTTTTGGTTTCGCAGGTCGAAATTTGCACTGATAAGATTGTGCAAACCTTTTATATAATGTGCAGTTTCTGTTTCAATCATTGCCGGTTCTTTTTCAAAAAGATCAACCCATTTTTGGGTATAACGGTAATACATCAAAAAGTCCTGCAGGATAAATCCAAACCAGCTATAGCTTTGATAATAATATAACTTCTCATAAAACCCTGTCGCCTGATCACCTTCAAATGGCAGCGACTCTTCAAAAAACTGCCTGATGGCCATTAGTAACAGGAAACGACAATAACAAAGTGCAATGTTTTGTGTACGTGTATATTGCCAAGCTGAATAAGCATTTTATGGAAGGCACTTTTTCCGAAGGTTTATACCTGGTGCCGTATATTGAAGAAAAGATTAAGGAATATTCGTTATATCTCGACAGGCACAGAATTCTTGTTTTTTATTACAAAATCAGTTCACTTTATTTTGGAAGCGGCAACTATGATGCTACGATTACGTATTTAAATAAAATCATCAACTGGAAGGTTGACCTTCGGACAGACCTGCAATGTTATGCGCGCCTGCTGCACCTGATTGCACATTACGAGATTGGAAACTTTGACATATTGGAATACCTTATAAAATCAGTTTACCGTTTTATGGCGAAAATGGAGAACCTGAGTATTGTAGAAGAAGAAATTTTTAAATTCCTGCGAAATTCTTTTCATTTAAGTTATCGAAAATTAAGACCTGAATTTGAAAAATTGCTGACTAAACTAAAAAGCATTGAAAATAATCGTTTTGAGACGAGAGCTTTTTCATATTTAGATATTATTTCCTGGCTGGAAAGTAAAGTTTATGGGAAGCCGGTGCAGGAGATTATTAAGGAAAAGAATAATAAGGTGTTGCAGAATAATCATTAAGAGAGGTTATGGCCACGAAGACGCAAAGACACTAAGAAGCGCAAAGAAAAAACTAAACACTTTACGAACCTTCGTGCCTTAGCGCCTTAGTGGCAAAAAAAAATAAATGAAATATTTCAAAGTTTTATACATCCAGGTTATCATAGGTATTATTTGTGGTGTTATAGTCGGTTGGTTATTCCCACCTTTTGCGCCTACGGCAAAGCTTATTAGTGATATGTTTATAAATATGATAAGGATGGTAATAGCTCCGGTCATATTTTTTACAATTGTACTGGGTATTGCAGGTGCAGGTAATTTAAAAAAAGTCGGACGGGTAGGAGGCAAGGGTTTACTTTATTTTGAAGTAGTAACAACTTTAGCGATTATTATCGGGCTTGTTGTTGCTAACCTTATAAAACCTGGTATTGGGGTTACTCACAATAGTATTAACGCCGCAAATGTCAAAGTCATTACTGACACCAAAGGTTTTGATTGGGCTGATTTTGTTTTGCACATTGTTCCTGCAAATATTGCAGATGCTTTTGCCAAAGGCGATATTATTCAAATCTTGTTTTTTGGTGTTTTATTCAGTCTGGGTTTAAAGCAATTAGGCAGTTATGGAGACACCCTTAAAATAACATTCGAAAAGCTGAGCAAAGTTTTATTTAATATTCTAAAAATAGTGATGAAAGTAAGCCCGTTAGGCGCATTCGGAGGAATGGCTTACACGATCGGCAAATTTGGCTTTACAACCCTTGTTGTATTAGGCAAACTCATGTTAACTTTCTATATAACCAGTCTTCTTTTTATTTTTGTTGTACTTAACCTTGTAACGAGATTATATGGATTTAGTTTATGGAAATTATTAGGCTACATAAAAGCTGAATTATTAATTGTTTTAGGTTCAAGCAGCAGCGAATCTGTTTTACCAAACATTATGGCCAAGCTCGAAAAGGCAGGATGCGAAAGAAGTGTAGTTGGTTTAATCATTCCCGCAGGATATAGTTTTAATTTAGATGGGACAAGTATTTACTTAAGCCTTAGTGTTATTTTTTTAGCCCAAGTTTTTAATGTGCCTTTAACGCTCGGGCAAGAGCTTTCCGTCATCGGTATATTATTACTAACCAGTAAAGGTGCAGCCGGTATAACCGGAAGTGGTTTTCTCGTACTTGCCTCAACATTGACGGCGCTTAAAGTTGTTCCGGTAGAAGGTTTAGCTTTGCTGATAGGTGTCGACCGATTTATGAGCGAAGCCCGGGCTCTAACCAACATGATAGGAAATACTGTAGCTACCATTGTAATTGCGCGAAGCGAAAATGCTGTCGATATGGTACAATACAAAGCCGTTGTCGAAAAGCGCAATGCAAATGCAGAGGGTACTTAAATTAAAGTGCAAATTATATCCCGGGAAAGCAAACTTTTTTAAACCTTTTTTTAATTCTTGTAATATTATGGCAAAACTTTTTCAACCGTTACAAATCAAAAGCATCCAATTAAAGAACAGGATTGTAGTGTCTCCGATGTGTGAATATTCAAGTACTGATGGGTTTTCTAACGACTGGCATCTTGTGCACTTAGGAAGCCGGGCAGTGGGCGGCGCAGGCTTAATAATAACCGAAGCAACCGCAGTTTCTCCCGAAGGAAGAATTACTCCGGATGACCTTGGCTTGTGGAAAGATGAGCATATTGAAGGACTAAAACGAATCGTATCTTTTATAGAATTGCAGGGAAGTATTGCAGGTGTGCAATTAGCGCACGCAGGAAGAAAAGCAAGCCACAGCAGCCCATGGAAAGGTGGAAAAATGCTGACAGCCGCAGAAGGCGGATGGCAAACTTTAGCCGCTGATACAACTCCGTTTAGACCGGCTGATATACCTTCTGCAGAATTGGATAAAGCAGGTATTGAAAAGGTAAAATCTGATTTCAAAGCGGCTGCATTGCGGGCTTTACAGGCAGGGTTTAAAGTAATAGAAATTCATGGTGCACATGGGTATTTGTTGCATGAGTTTTATTCTCCGCTCAGCAATCATCGGACGGATGAATACGGAGGTTCTTTTGAAAACCGGATAAGATTATTAGCAGGAGTTGTTGATGCCATAAAAGAAGCCTGGCCCGAAAACCTGCCATTATTTGTCCGGATATCTGCAAGCGACTGGACCGAAGGCGGTTGGACGATTGAAGAATCAATTAAATTGGCGAAAATCCTAAAAGAAAAAAAAGTAGATTTAATTGATTGTTCGTCCGGCGGAAATATTCCTAATGCAAAAATCACTGTTGGTCCTGGTTATCAGGTACATTTCGCGGAAGCGATAAAAAAAGAAGCAGCGATTTTAACTGGCGCCGTTGGTTTTATAGCACAGCCTGATCAGGCTGAAGAAATTATTGCATCAGGCAAGGCCGATGTTGTAATTATGGCAAGGGAATTTTTACGCAATCCTTATTTTCCTTTGCATGCAGCAAAAGTGCTTGGAGCAGATGTTTCGTGGCCTATTCAATATGAAAGAGCAAAAATGTAAAATGTGTTATTTTAAAATGAGCAGTTAACTTACAAATCAATCTTTTTGTATGGGTTTTTTATTTTTTGAATTTTTTACTTGTTGTACTATTGCCTTTATCACTATTTCATCAAATGTTTTTTTCTTTAAATTGGCAAATAAATTTTATGATCGCAGTCGGAGACTATAATGTATTAAAAGTATTGAGAAATGCAGATTTTGGTTTTTATCTGGATGATGGCGCCGATGGTATTTTGCTTCCTGTAAGATTTGCACCTCAAGGTTTGAAACCTGGTGATGAAATAAAAGTTTTTATTTACCACGATTCAGAAGGAAGATTGATAGCAACCACGCAGCATCCCAAAGGCGTCGTTGGAGATATTGTAAAACTAAAAGCCGTAACGGTGACTAATCAGGGTGCATTTCTTGACTGGGGTTTAATGAAAGATATTTTTGTTCCAAAAAGCAAACAGTTAGGTGGAATGCGGCAAGAAGCAGAATATCTTGTAAAGATTTACGTAGACGAACAAACCGGAAGAGTTGCGGCAACCGAAAAGATTGAACCTTTTTTAAGTAATGAAAATCTTACTGTAAAAGAAAAAGATGTAGTCGATCTGGTCGTTTATCGTCGCACAGATATTGGCTACGTTGTTATCATTAATAATAAACATACCGGTGTTTTGCATTTTAATGAAATATACCAAAATATTGGTGTGGGCGATAAACTAAAAGGCTTCATAAAAACAATTCGACCCGAAAATAAAATTGATGTAGTTGTGGGTAAACCAGGCTATAATAGGGTAGAAGATGAAGCCGAGAAAATATTAAGACTGCTTAATGAAAACGGGGACTACTTACCCTACCATGATAAGTCGAACCCGGAAGAAATTTATAACTTTTTCGGTATGAGTAAAAAAGCTTTTAAAATGGCTACGGGAAATTTGTATAAACAACAAAAAATAGAGTTTACTAAAACAGGTATTAAGTTACTTGAAACGTAATTCTGTCGTTTTTTTATTCGTTTGTCGCTTTAAAATTTTCTTATGCCCTTTGCGCAATTTTCAGCCTGCTCAACCTGTCCATTTCTTTGTTTAATATAGAAGCCAGGGATTTTGCTTTAGCATCGCGGTTGCGGTAAACAAGACGGTGATCTAAAACTGCCGGAGTTATTTTTTGCAGGTCGTCTTCAGTCACGAAAGTTCTGCCGTTGACAAGCGCAAAAGCTTTTAAACATTTTAGAAAAGTGATACCGCTGCGGGTAGAAGCACCCAATACAATATCAGTATGACGACGGGTATCCCAAACGATGTTTCGTACGGCTTTTACTATTTCTTCGTGAACAAAAACCTTTTCTGCTTCATCCTGCAAAAAAAGAATTTCTTCCATACTTAAAACCTGCTGAATGTGGGCAAGATTATTGGCAATGCCAAGATAATTATTATAAATATCCAGTTCGGTTTCTTCGTCAACATAACCAAAAATAATTTTTATAAAAAAGCGATCAAGCTGTGCGGCAGGCAGCGGATAAGTTCCTTCCATCTCAACAGGATTTTGTGTGGCTATGGTAAAAAACATTTTTTCCAACGGATAAGTCGTTTCTCCCATAGTTATCTGATGCTCGGCCATACATTCAAGCAAAGCGGACTGCACTTTGGGAGAAGCACGATTAATTTCATCTGCCAGCAAAACATTACAAAAAAGAGGGCCTTTTTTAAAAATGAATTCTTTTTTTACATCGTCAAAAATATGAGAACCTATTAAATCCATTGGCAATAAATCAGGAGTAAATTGTATCCGCTTAAAAATAACTCCTCCTTCGTTGCTTTTGCCGGAAATGCTTTGTGCCAATGTTTTTGCCATCACCGTCTTGCCCGTTCCGGGATTATCTTCCATCAAAATATGTCCCTTGGCCAACAATGCGGTTAGTATAAATTGAATTTGTGTTCGCTTTCCACGGATGACTGTTTCTATATTATTTACCAGTTTCTGAATGTTTTCGAGCGCTTCTTCTATCTGTATATTTTGCTCTGTAACCTGCTCCATGTTTAGCTTATTTTTGTTTTAGTAAAGAAATGCAGTGTATTGTAGATATTCACAAAACTGCTAACTCTTCTTTTCAGTGGAATATTGTTTTTTACCTGCTGAATAAATGGACTATAAAAATTTTGAACCAAAGTTTCTTCATTTGCCGTCAATGGCACACTGCTGTATTTGACCTTTTGATAAACATTGGTAAACTTATTAAAGTTTGATCCAAATTTCCGGTCTGCTGCTTCCGCAAATTGCTGCGGGCTTTGGTTTTCTCTTGTTATTCCCAACTGATTCAGGTAATATATACTTGCTGTATAAATATTATAAGCTTTTACTTTTGAATTTGTGTTGCTTTTTGCTTTGTTATTCAAATATTGCCAGATGAGCCACGGCGAAGCAAACAGCAACACAATAAAACCTCCTAACACCGCTAAGCCAATCCACATTGCTTTTACCCAGTCAAACTGCTGAACTGCTTTTGCCTGTTCTTTTTCTCTTTCTTTTTTCTGCTCTTCAGTTTCCATTATTTTAATTTCATCAACAGGCGCGGGTTTTGGCAGTTTTACAATTAACGATGCTAAATTATCCGTTTCATTTGTCATTACATTTTTCATGGCTTCAGCATATGAAACTGCAACGATGTTTGTTCCTGCTTTTATGTCGCTTAGTTTGCCTTCACCGGTATCGCGTGTAACTGCTGCAATCGATACATCCATCAACAAATCTTTTGCCTCAGGTGCAGGAATATTTTCGTCGTGAAAAAGCATTTTATTTACTTTCATCGTTACCCTTTTTGCCGCTGTATCAACACTTACGGCTTGTCCGTCTGCAACCATTAGCGCCTCTTGCGTATTCATCGGCGGCGTGCCATCGGGCTGAGGCGATTGTTGTGTATTTTGATCGGGAACGGTCGTATCAAAATCTATCCAGCCATAGCCGGGAAAGTACAGTTGAACCCAGGCATGTGCCTGATCTGCGTAAAACCAATACCAGCCCGGATTTTTACTGCTTCTGTCAACCGTTAAAAACCCTGCTGCGATACGGCTTGGAATACCTAACGAACGAAGCAGAAAAAGAGTAGCGCCGGCAAAATAGGCACAATATCCTTTGCGGTTTTCAAACAAAAAATAATTCAACTTGCTTGCACTTGGCAAACCAGGAATCCCCGGATTGTCTGAGTATCGGAAAAGAGGCTGGCCAAACTCATCTTTCTGAGTAAAAAAATCACGAATCGCAATCATCTTATCCACCGGAGTTTTTGCATTTTTAGTAATTTGGGCAGCAAGCACACGAATACGGTTATATTCTTCATTACGAGGCATAAAAGTGTAATAATCCATAAACTTTTTGTCGAGCCTGTTGTACGATTGCACTTCACGCAGACGATCGAAACGTTGTTGCTGAAAAGCTTCGAGTTGCTTGTTGCCTGCAGGATTGTAAATAAAATAAGCACTGTTCAGATCACTCACCCACATCTTTGCCCTGTAAGCGCTTTTAAATTGAGACTTGTATTCATTTTCCACAGGAAGCGGCTGGCAAAAAAAAGCGGTGGAAGGCGCAATATATTCTTTTGGTGAAAGGACAACTCTGTACACATCCGCAGAAACAACTTTCCGGTTTAAAGTTGCCATTGTATTTCTGATCACAGCAGTATCGGTTTTGGCAAAATACAAAGGAATTTTAGAAGGATCGGGACTGAAAAGATCATTGTAGGGAAGACTTTTGTCTTCCTCAAATGTTTGAGTGAGCGTATCAAACTTGGTATAGTAGGTTGATGTAAAATAAAGCGGGTTAGGCGTTTTTCCATCGGGAAAAAAGTTATCAAGTTTGGCAACAAAAACGAGTCTTTTGTCTTTGCTTAAAGAACCCGTCATCTTCATCTGATCTTTATTGCTGAGGCTACCATCCTTATTTTGTTTGGTCATGCTCTCTTTTCCGCCCTTATTTTTTCCTCCCTGACCGCCACCCCAGTCCTGCTCGATGCTGTTAAATTCTTTCTGAAAAATAAGCAGCAGCGCAAATAAAACAATCACCGCAAGGCTAATGAAACCAACAAGGCGTTTTGTAATAAACCAGCCAAAGTTTGTCTCATCTTCATTTATATCTGCTGTACAACGCCAACCAGTATTTTGCATTGTTGCAAAATAATTCGACCGAGCAAACTTTATATTTTGCCACCGGCATTGTTGCGTCTCT